AAAGTAAGGAGCCTTGCTCTGGTGATGTCTGTCACGGCTGTACAGATTAAAGCCCAGCACAGATTCATCGGATTCACAGGACGGTAAGCCGAGGACTTCTTCGCACAATCCAACAGTCTTCACTCCACAATAATCCTTCTTCCGTTTTCATTGAGATCATTTCACGAATTCCTTCTAACAAACTTTTGCTTAGAGATGGAAAGATGTTGCGCAATGAATAAATGAGTGCTTGGATGCAAAAGGGAGTGCAGCCAAATCGATCGTGGGTGGGACAATTAGGACAACCTCAACCCTTCATCAAGTGACGATGGAAGCAGATGCTTCAAGCCTTGTCGTCAGCATGAATGTTCCAGTAAAGCCAATCGACAGCTGGTTAAGAGGAATCCGCCGTCGGCTTCTGGTGAAATCGGCCTTCGAATCTCTTCACCAAACACTTTCACTCGAAATGGAAGTAGGCCCAACAATTATGAAACAAGAAATTCCTTGCATAACAGAAGATTAGACGGATTGTTCCAAATGAATGGCTCCAAGACCTGATCTTCACTTTTCAAGTTTTATTGCTGGTATATTAAAGTCATGGAGTAACTCATGGAGACAAAGAAAAATCTTTCTCCATTGGCAACAGGACATTTCAAGTGTATAAAATGGAAACTCGTGTCTACAATTGCTAACATAAAATGTCAAAATGGAAAGCCGCTGTGAGAAACAAAAGTGGTTGAAGGTGAAGAGTCGGTCGGCTGAAACAGAAGTCTGGTTTATCCTCACCTGAAAGTAAACCTGCCAAGGAATGCCGCCCAAAATCAGCATGAACAAGTTGTCCGCATAATATACTGAATCAATTGGTTGAATTTCGCCGACCCAGCGGGAAGGATTTGAACCAAGAGATGCCACGTTTTCATTCATCATTGCGAAAGGAACGCAAATCCACTTGAATATTAAAATAAAAAATAAAACATCATTTCGTTTCAATATTTATAATAATAATAACAAATTGATATCACAAATAATAATTTAAGATATTATTAATATTAAAGATATTATTTGGTTTAATAGCGGAAAGCTTTGCTTCTATTCTTCCACTAGATTTAAATATTGACTGCATAAAGGATCCGACAGAGTTTGACTTAAATAAAATAAATTAATATCTTGAATATAGAGTGAATACACCATAGACAGTAGAACTGAGAACACCAGATGAGCTTTTATCATCCAACTACTAGTATTAATAGTTTATTACTATTGCCAATTTCATATTATCCCCTATTACTTAATAGTAATAATAAATTAATCGTAATGTTATCAATTTTTAGTAATAAGTATTATTGCCAGTGTTATATGAACATAGTATTGATAAACATCATCATTATGAATATTACAGTTATAATACTAATTACTATTAGAGTTATAATTAGTATTTTTAGTAGCAGAACTGCAGTAGAAATATAATAAAAATTTATCATTATTATTGTCATCATCATCATTGTCATTATGTTGACAATAAGCCCCAAGTGACTTGGCTCTAAAAACTTATCTGGTATTCCCAGATATACACTTAGGATGGGAATTACCATCATCCTTGCCTACTATTATTTATTTAATTATGCAAATTGTTAGCCATTTGAAGTATTTTTATTTTGTATGTGGTAGTTTGCAGTTTTTCTATTGATGCGAGATTACGCATTCTTCTCCTCTGGTGGGGGCTTGTGTTACTTTAGCCTTACTCTGCATTTCTACGATTCAGGTAGGCAAGTTGAATGTGAAACTTTTTTATTATTCTTCCTATTTTTTATTTCAGATTAATTTATTTTGCTTCTATTTTTGTTACTTCATTAGTACCTTAGACAGAAGGCGTAGAATAGCCTATTTACGTCTTTTATGGCATTGGCGCCGAGCAGATGATTAGGCGAAGTAAAATCTGTGATCTAGTCGTTGCTATGAGGACAAAATAGTGCAGCCTCCATTTAAGTCGCAATCTCCTTTCGCCAAATAGCATTAGTTTAGCCTCGTTTTCGAAACTTGGCTGTGCTGTCAAGACGGCCGAGTTGAACCCAACTTGTCTGAATTCCTCTGTGTTGTGTAGCCATGATGATTTCCAGCGTCAAATCGTGAAGTGGATACATTCTTAGACATTTCGACGGCTTCGTCTATGAGTCTTGCCATTCTTGGCACCAGACTACAACTCGTCAGAGCTGATGTG